CCACATCCTGCTCGATAAACAGTGAATTCATCCTTCACTTGTTACGCTCCAGTAGGCTGATGAATGTCTTGCTCCGAGAGGTCCCCATCATCTATGTTCGTGTCGGCGACGCCTTCAGTGAGTGGCAAGCCATACCAGCAGGGGTGCCCCAAGGATCCGTTCTTGCTGTTCTTGATCTACACCATTGACCTGCCCTCTGCCTGCACCAACTCGAACACAAAGTGCAGCCAATTTGCAGATGACACGGCGCTCATCGCAACACACCAGAGCCCGTTTGACATCGGAGTTGTCCCTGCAGTCAGCCGTTTCAGCTGCCGCAACCTGGCTGCGCAGATGGCACCTCCTCGTCAATGCCTCAAAGACCGTTACCTTGTCGTTCACACCAAACCACCAACTCAACATCACTCTTAATGGCACACCCCTAAAGCAAGTCAAAGAACACCGTCACCTTGGAATCATACTACAAAACAACCTCCAATGGAACTCACATGTCACGCACATAATAAACAAATCCAAAAAACTCCTTCACCAACTTCGTAAAACACGAGGCCAACTTAACACCCCCAGTCTGCTCGTAATCTACACCGCCTACATTCGCCCGGTTATAGAGTACGGCAGTCTCGTGTTATCCAACACCACCCGCACACAGAAGGACCAATTTGAACGCGTTCAGCGACGAGCAGCCCGTATCTGCCTGCGGATCCCCCTTTTTGCACCAGTCCATCACAGCTCACTTCTTCATCATCTCCAACTCCCCACATTAGTCTCCCGGCAACTCTTACGACAGGTTACTCTTGCCCACAACATCAAGTACATCCGCGCTCCCCTTCACCTGCAACAGCCTCACCTTGCACGACCAATCACAGTGCAGCCATATGCACTACGACACATGAGAACATACACATTGAGAACATCACACACATACCGACACACCAACTCACCCATCAACCTATCCCTTCACAATTTCAACCAACTACCCCCCGACCTGCGTGAAACAAATAGCAAGCATGCGTTTAAATCAATGGCGTCTAGCCTCATTCTATCATCCATATGCTCCTGTAGTAGCTCACACTGTACCCCATCGTGACCCCATCCCCCCTGCAATGTGTTGATTTCGTTACTTGCTAGACTGATTTTATATGATTCTGGACTGATTTGAATCATATCATCTTCCTTATTGGCCATGGGCCATCGTGGAAATAAAGAATAATAATAATAATAATCTATTTCAAGCTCCCGCGTAGGGAACAACACCCAATTCCTCATGTATCGTCGAAGTCCCTAGGAACCTGCTCTTTGCATAGCTGGCCCCAGTGCCGGCTTGCGACTAGATGGCAAGCAAGGACTTATTCTTCTTGTATCCAGGTGTCAAATTTTTCACTCTCAACCGTCTCACTCAGTGCTTATTGGTCGCAACAGGTCACCAGCAGCAGGCGCATTGCTTCTCACTTTCCATTGCCAAACCACGTTAGTCTCAATTAGGTTGGTTCAAAAGCCTTTTGTACTGGCAACATGAATTGTGCATATCCTCAAACAAACTCAAGTATAAAATTACAAATAGAGCTATGAACGCAATCAATGGCGAACGGTCCTGAGCGCTTGCTCACTTCGTCCCAGGTCGGAGTCCATGAATTGTGCATATCCTCAAACAAACTCAAGTATAAAACTATGAGTAGAGCTATGTACGCAATCAATGGCCAACGGTCCTAATGGCTTGTTCACTTCGTCCCAGGTTGGAGTTCCTGGTGGACTGGATATCAGCATCAAGTATGACCATGTCAGCCTTGAGGGAAACGATCTCACACACTGTGTGGAAGCTAGAACTAGTCGCATGCATAAGAAAACATGCTTCAAGGTAACAGGTGGTCACAGAGGATCACCAAGGCATCTTCATTTGAGTGGAGCTTTCGAAATGCGAACTGAGTATCGAGTATTTCATTAACAGCTTCAAGATGGCGGACCAGCTGCTACTGGACAACCTTCTCCAAGACTTTTGAGAGTATTTGCAGCAGCAATATTGGCATCTATCACTCCCTTAGTATTGGCTCCCGTAGATTTTTTTGCAATACCTAACGGGCCATCCGTAATCATCGATCTTTTCACGAAGAGAAAAAGTTTCGTTTACGGGTGGGTGGGTTGAGGAGAGTTTCGTGATGAAAAATGCTGAAAGCTCAAACATCAGTCCATTCTACCTGTCAAGTCAATGTATTTTTCGTTCAAGGGGGTGGGTGGGTGGGGGAGGGTCATAAATATACTTTTTCGTTTCGTGAAAATTATCGATAATTCCGGATTGCCCCTAAGCAGTCAAAATAATATTCCTGCATATTTCACTCCTTAGGGCTATATTAACAGCATATTCTCGACTTCCTTTTAGGGATTGAGCACATGATTTGGTTAGTCGTGATAAATCTAGCATTGATTTCGCATTAGGTCAATAATTATAGAAAATAAAAACCGCGTAAAAGACTTCGGCTTCTCCTCAGTCTTTTACTCAGCTTATACTTCCTATATTAACCCCGTACTCCGTAAATATTAAATGCTTGAATACTTGCTTCCAATCTCTCTTGAGTACATCGGCACATACTCTACCCTTTTCCCCTTTGTTTTGTTGTTCAGTGTCACTTCAGTTGTCCTCTTCCCCTGATTATTAGTAGGGCTGTGTTTGCTAGTAAACAAAAAACCCAAAAAAGTACAAGGCTCTGCCCTACATGGTTATTGAGCACTCTTCGGACAGTGAAACACACCACTCGTTTACGTCTATATTAAGTATGCGTTTGCTGAGTGCTGTCGGGTCACCTGCTTTGTAGAGTGGGCATACGGCTGCACTTTTAAGGGCGTCTTGGACCATTCCAATGCTCAGCAAGGAATGTGTTACTCTGTTAATCATCCAACATATGAAGTCTATGCACTCATACACGTACACTTTTGCGAATTTCAGTTGAAATATTACTACTCTTTTTCCACTTTTGAGGCATTAGTGACGTCACATGCCACATAATATGAGGAAAGACCATTGTAATTATTATACGGCCTTTCCTGATGTATGTAATCAAGCACGCTCAGGAGGTCATGATGGCTGAATCCTGCCCGAGCCTGCAGCCCAAGGGCCGTAGGCCCGAGGGCTGCAGGCAAGGGCAAGATTCACCCATCAAGAGACAGAGCGTGCTTGATTTGATTTCTTACAGCGCGGAGCAACATATTAGGGAAGGTCAAAGGTCGAAAGGTCGGAACAATATTCCCAAGATACGTCAAACGGTCCTAACATTCCCGAAATGACGTCAAACGGTCCTGAAACTCCCGAAATTACGTCAAACGATCCTGATGGCCATATTATGCCCGCGGCGGGAAGATGGCCTATTGGCCATGGCCCCAGCAACGATCACGTGTCATGTAAGAACAAAATGTACGTGATTAGAAGTTAAGCGGGATTCACAGAAGCTTTTTTTGCGATGCGACGTGATCTGCGACGGACGCGTGGGATGCGAACTCGCGAAATACCATTCACAGAAGAAGACAGTGATGCGACAACATCTTGCTGATTTGGCTACGTCACCATGATATTCGCGCGGTTTGATACAACTTGTACAAATTTATAGGCAACTCTTGAACCTTTGTACAACTTTGCTGTAGAAAAGGTCAAAATCGTACGCCAAATCGCTTGTCGCATCGCATCGCATCGCAAAAGTTGAGCCAAGCTCAACTTCTGCGATGGCCCTGTTGCGGCAGTTGCGTGGGGTCCGCGATGGTTGCGATTTGGGGATTTCCCGGTTTCGCGGCTGTCGCATCGCGTGTCGCATCGCAAAAAAGCTTCTGTGAATCCCGCTTTATGGACAATTCGACATTACGAGCACTACCCGGTCCCGGACCGCCCGGAGAAACAAGGTACCAGACTCGTAGTCGAGCTTCCAAGTATTGTACGCAACAATTCACGGTTCGCTGAGACTCGGTTGGAGGCCCAGTTTTTCGCATCGGTAGGAACGCCACCATTCCCCAAGGATGACTTGCACTGCACATGTGACAAAAATAGTTATTTTGAACTGTGTACCGATAGTGCAGTACTCACCAAACTGTTTGCCACACAATGCTTCGTCGTCTTCCACTTTTATCGGCTGAGTCCTGTATTGCCTTTGGCGGATAACCTTCAGGGTTGCCAAGCGATGGTGAAGAGAGCCTAGCTGCTACAGAGGCTGCTTTCGCAGAGAGCATTCGGCAACAGGCATCCGGTCGTCCACGCCATATCCATGGAAAACGTCTTTAGCTGTTGCTTTCCCTACAACACGCAGGTCAGCAGACTCCCTGAAGAAAACTTGGAGTCGGGAGTTTTAGAAACTATGTGTACTGGTAGTAACTACTAGACTTGGACCACGGCATTATGGAGCCCGCAGTCGGACTAGTAGTCGACTGTCCCGGCGAGGATGAACGACCAGCCAGAAAAGGAAATGTTCAAACTGCAACGAGGTTCAAGTATTGCGGAGTCTCGGTGTAGATCTACATCCGTGACGACCTACATCTACATCTTCACTCGCGAAAGCGCGAGCGCAAGTGCGGGCTTTACCCGCGCTCAGGTTCATCACTCAGCAGTCATGTCAGAGTCATCTGCGAGCGGCGAGTTCACAGAACTAAAGTTACTTCACACGTCCTTGAGTCGAACGGACATAATAATTTTACACTTTTTTTATGTCTGTCACTCTGTGTACACGGTGTATATGTGTGAAATGTTACCAGTATCCCGCGAGCGTGACCACCACCTTCTGGTGTATGTAAACAAATTGTTGAGCAGGCCGGGGCGTAGGAAGCAGTTTAATATTGGTGCGGCGAAATTGTGAGAGGGGGGTCCGGGGTCGACCCCGGGATTTTTTTTGAAAATTGGGCCCAAAAAGGCCATATTTTAATGCTACAGAATAATATGAGAAATAAAAATATGCATGCTGATGATACATGTACACCGCATTGTCCATGTAAAACATGGTACCTGTACAAGAGTCGACAAGCCATCAACAAGGTTGAAATGTAAAAAAAATAAATAAAAAAAATTCGAAAATTATTGGTCCGGCGACCGCCGGGCCCGCCGGACCGGTTCCTTCGCCCATTGTTGAGTGGCGGAACTCGCTCAGACCTCTGATCAGTGTTACCTAGTTACTGTGTGCATGACTGCATGTGCAAGGCTACAAAAGTAATGACTGTGCTACTTGTGAAGTAGTTGTGTACTACATGTACTCAGTAGTGCAGCGCTGGCAACTGAAATCCAGGGGGTCGGATTTCAGTTGCCAGCGCTGTACTACTAGACACGTACATGTACATGTACATGTAGTAGTAGTAGCTACTTTTATACAGTCGTCCAGCACTTTATAAACCAGCACCCTCGCTAAACCAGCACAATTTTCAGTAGCCAAAATGTCCTCTTCATGCACATTGCAGCAGTAAATCAGATTTGTTAATCCAGCGCCCTCCCTAATCCAGCAGATTTTCAGTGGCACAAATCGTGCCGGGTTATAGAGGGACCACTGTAACCGAATACTAGTTCAAAAACTAGTATTAGATAAACCTTGTTATAGTTCAGAAATGTTGTTAGATTGACAGCATGAAACAAGGTGGAGGACACTGTGTTCGGAAACAGTGACCTTACTACAACCTTCCGCGGTTGGCAGAGCCTACCCACGGCCACGTCGGGACATCAACCAACCCCGTCTACAGAGAGCACCTTCTCGCGACAGTGTCATGGTGATGACAAAAAACTGTTGACAGCTGACGAGCTGAGAGAAGGTCGCCATGGGCAGAAGTTGGAAGAAGTTTTTTTTATACAAGTTGAGGTTTCAGTGGCCGCTTGACCACCAGGACGACATTATTATTATTATTATTTATTCATATTTTACTAGGGCAGTCCCCACAGACCTATGGTCTTCTTACAGGGTGCCCTAGCCACGTGAAGATAGCGGAGCGAAATGCAGCAGGTAGGGATATGGTGCGAATCGCGGCAGGGAGGGCGTTCCATCGGTCAGCTCCAAGATAAGATACAGAGTTATAGCCAAAATACAATCTGGCATGGGGCAGTACCAGCCCGAGCAATTCCTGAGAACGGGTAATTCTAGCAGTGCGGGATGATGAGACAGCACGAGATCAAGAAAAAGAGCGAAGAATACAAGACGAACGTCAGTAGTAGTCTCCTACCACCCTAGCATAATGAGGGTCAGAACCGGGTGCGACACCCATATGGTTCAGATGGTCCGCAGGGACCAGGGCTCTGCCAACCGCGGAACGTTGTAGTAAGGTCACTGTTTCCGAACACAATGTCCTCCACCTTGTTTCAAGCTGTCAATCTAACAATATGCGTGAACTATAAGAAGGTTTATCAAATACTAGTTCTGATCTAGTATTCGGTTATAATTATAATACCATACTATCCTTTGCCACGATAGTAGGCGAAGCTTGACCAACCTAAGTGCCAGACTTCTTTCCCCTGACAAAACAAGTTTTCTCGAAGAATGACTCACATTCAAGAGCAAGAGATGAATACGTGACTGACTGAACTACAACTCTATGTTACTTGCTTTTTCCAATCTTGATAAACTAACTAATACTTACCACGTTTGCCTGTATGACGCATGCGTGCAGTTTGCAGGACGCCCTACGCACATCAGAAGCTGTACACTTGTATTGTTGAACTACACTACTGCTACTACCGTACTGACAATACTTCTTGACGCCCAGGCCACGGCTAACTACAAAAAAACAACCTCAATCCAATGGTTGGCTGTTTTTTGAACTAGCTTCCACCATGCTGCCACACATTGCTACTATTTCAATCACATGACACATAGTACCTCACTCCCGAAGCCAGACATTGATCAATGCAAATAGTAGCCATGTAGAATTTTCTATGCATACTCCTACCAAGTCTAGTAGTTCCTTTGAAAAGGTCAAGAAATTTTCTTTGAGGTAGTTGTCTATGAAGAGACAAAATGTCTTCCGCAGTTGGACATGTCCACGTTCACCCCAGGATTAACTCCACTTGATATGAGTTGACACCGGAGGTAAGACGTACTTCAAGCTCGTTTTTTCTCTAAATGTGTGAGTGTATGCACGTAACTAACAAAACTGCATGATCAAATTGAGGCACTTGTAGTTGTTTAGGTTTGCAAATGAAATTCAAGTTTTTTTAGCCATGCAAGTTTACGTGACAACATCAACAACATGCGAGTTAGTTCCAAGCGGTACTGATGAAGGTAACCAACGTGTTGCAAAATTGAAGCAGTTGCTCAGGTTTGTAGTTGAAATTCAAGTTTTCTTGACCAGTACCAATTTACTTGACAACATCAACAACAAACAAGTTAACTAGTGGAGGCAACCAACGTGTAGCCAGGGTGTTCCGACGTGGTGAAGGCCTACCTATGGCGACATGGGGACATCACCAACCCGTCTACAGAGAGCACCTTCTCGCGACAGTGGCACGGAGATGACAAAAAACTGTTGACAGCTGACGAGCTGAAAGAAGGACGCCATAGGCAGAAGTTGGAAGAAGATTTTATACAAGTTGAGGTTTCAGTGGCCGCTTGACCACCAGGACGACATCAAGAAAAAGAGCGAAGAATAGAAGACGAACGTCAGGAGTAGTCTCCTACCACCCTATCATAATGAGGGTCAGAACCGGGTGCGACACCCATTATGGTTCAGATTGTCCGCAGGGACCAGGCCTCTGCCAACCGCGGAAGGTTGTAGTAAGGTCACTGTTTCCGAACACAGTGTCCTCCACCTTGTTTCATGCTGTTAATCTAGTAGTTGCTACTTGCACAAGTAGACAAACGTTGAACAGCTGGTTCGGGATCGATTGCCGAATCCCTGCATATCGCGCATGCAATGCGGATATCCGGATGTGCTTGTCAATACGTCGTGCAGCATATTTCACATTAATAATTAACTGCAATCGTTGAATGCAAAATCTGCGGTACACTGTACATGCGCGTCCGATCCATCACACATCGATAAATGCCACATTCTGGAAACTGCACATGGAGTGCTGGAGCTGCGGAAGAGCTGGTGCTGAACAAATAACTTCTTTCGATAGGGAAGAGAGTCAGTCCGCGCCACAACGCAAGCTCAGGATTTGGGTGTGATCAGATTGTTTACAGGTAGCTTGGCCCTGGCTGCACCAGGAGGCATGATACGAGTCCAAGGAAACGCATTTCTTTTCTTTCTGTTTTCACACTTCGGCCCGTTTGACTACGACAGTATTCACCTCGTCTGGGGGTTAGACGTGGGGAAGTTGCCCTGCTGACCGGCGTGCGAGCCCCCCTTTCGGCAGTAAAGTGATGACAGAAAACACAGGGCGGATAGCAGTGGATAGAGATGCACGCCTCACGCAACGGCTCTCTCGCTACCTCTTTGCCGGTCGGAAAACTAGTACTGAATTTTAAAATGTTAGGAAACATAGTATGCAGTATCAGAACCACTACAGAATACTCTAATAGTAAACCACTTTCCAAAACCCGCGACGCCATTTTATTTTACACGTATAATTATGATGTAAGGTCCAATGACGTAATACCGACACTTCATCTTAACCTCCTCGGCTAAAGGAAAGTGATTCGAGTGGCCGCATCCACTCCAAGGCACTTCAGAAATCACAGGCGATTTTCTAACATCTGGGCAGCGCATCATCATCATCATCATCGATGAACTGAAGCAAAGATACTACGGGTGCTACAAGGCAGCAACTGAGAACTACATGTGTAGATTTTATTCCATTACAACAAACTGCAAGTTCCCTCGACGACTGGAGTAGAACGGAAAGTCGCCAACAATCCCAGGGTGTCATTGTCACCATAGGCATTACATGGGCTACGCGACAGGCGAGAGCTGATGTTCTTGTAATAATAATATTATTATTATTCTTTTTAACTGGTTTGAGGGAAAGAGACAAACGGGAAAAGTCGAAGAAAAAATTGACTGTCACCACCAGGACTCGAACCAGGGACCCTCGCTTGTAGCCAGCGATGCTCTAACCACTGAGCTATGGTGTAGTCGTCATCCCAGCAGAGGCCGTTCAACATTTTCTTCAGACTTCGTAACTCACACTTCCTGTGAATCCACACAGGCGGGTGGGACGCAGCCCTCACTGTAACCAACACACGTCACGTACCAACTAGCACGCGGGGAGCCCCTAGTCATAACATATTAACTGGTTTGAGGGAAAGAGACAAACGGGAAAATTATTCTGTTTACTAGGACAAACATCACAGACTACCAAAGTCTTTTCCAGGGTAGTCCACCCATGTGTCAGACAACAACTAGTACTAACTTGTCTTGATGTACATGTATGCCGATGTCACGATTTAACGTTATGCTTGGACAGGGCGCCAGGCACACACTGATGGTGATGGTTGAACAGGTGATAAGATCAAGAGGAGCAGTGCGTGTTTTTCACTGGCGACCAGTGGCGTAAAACATGTTTGCTTTGCAGTTCAGCAGACGTTGTGCGGGCAATGATAATAATTATCATGGTATTTACTCAGCTTTTCCTCCATTTCGAGAGAAATGCTTTTATCAAAGTGACTCTGTGACTTGAGCCTAGGTCCCGCTTATTGTGTGCGAAGCGAAATAAACAAAAACAAACAAGCAACAGTTACTCTACTGTGCTACCTACTCTACATCTAGTAAGTGTGAATGCAGAGAGAGTACTCCCTCGAATCTCGTCTCAACTTGAGGCTTTTTATTTTTGTTTTCCGCCTTATTCATAAGCTTACAAGTCCTCTTCTTTCCGCAGTGTTCACCCTCCAGTCGGCTGCTACTTGCACCGAGAGGCGCACTAGAGGGCAATCATTCCCTTCACTTTCTTTGCCCGCTGCTACCACTAGATAATAGATATGGCATGTTCTCTATTTCTTTCCTTGGTGCTGATAGGTGGAATTCTCTGCCTGTCTCGTGTCGTCAGGTTGAGCATCTATCCGTTTTTGTTCCGCTCTGTAAAGAGCACTTAGGGTTCCCTGTAACAAGACGGCAACGTCTGTAGGACCTTCCCTATCAAAATAATAATTAAATTCTACTACTACTAGAGCAGGGGTGGGCCGAGGAAAAACCGGAAAGAAAGTGGCAAATGATACTGAAGGTGGGGATGCACAACCAAGTAACAGGTCTAGAAAGTGTGAACATAGATACCGATGTGCTCGAAGTACATGTGTGTGTGGGTGTGCCTGTCTTTTGTACGCATCCCGACTTGCCTCTGAATTTAGATTTGTTCCTTCACCCACCCCTATCCCTACCCCACCCCTGTTCACACAGACTGGAACTCTCGCACTTCATCTTACTAATTACACTTCACCTCTATATCCCCAGTGACTTTACTCAACTCAGTGCGCTGATAGTAATATTATCATCACACACACAATCATGATGAAAAAAGAAGGACAAAATGTTACGAGTTATGACTAACTGCCCACCAACGTAACCAGATCTTATACAATCAGCGACAGTTAGTCATAACTCGTAACATTTTGTCCTTCCATTTTTCATCATAATTTAATTGGCTCACCATCCGAGTTCAACTTTACACACACAATCAGTAGGTCTTACCATTTTGCTAGGCAAACGTATGAGCGCGGCGTAGACAGTAACGTGTGGCGCCGACCTTGGACTGACCTCAGCCCCAGGGCAAGAATGCAGATGTGCACGGGAGCGAATCGACAACAGAGAAGGCAAAACACCTCGCTAATCCTAAGGACGATGCGTCCAAGCAACCTGCAAACTAGAGTGAACCTTGACTCACTTCCTACCTGAGAAAGCTGTAATGTGGCCTTGCCCAGACGGTCATGACTATATGTACCGTCATGCATTATTCGTCCAGTACGCTGTATGGGCCTCTCTCGAATCTTATGTAGTGCTAGCCAAAGAGTAGTAAAATACCGGTATTTAAATACTCCCTGGTGCTGGCCATTCGTATCCGACTGACGTCAGTTTATTGTTTTCCCCCAGGTGATACATCAAGGTGCAGGTCCCTGAAGTGAGGTTATTAATTTTTGGTACCGAATGCGCTTGCCACTGCGGGAAACCTCTGTGACAAAGGTGAATGAAGCCAAAAGATGAAAGCCACTGGCTACAACCAAGGAGCGTTTCGGAGACAGCAGCTAAACTAAAAACAATGTGCTGCGTGATTATCACCTTACACATCCAAATGGATGCTTTGCACATAAATACAAAAAAAAACCGTAACCACGTACTTATACCTACCTCTCTACAAACAGAGCCAATATATTGAGGTCAGGTGCGTGATTGAACGTCAGTTCAACTGTATGTTGAGTTGCATGATTCCATACCGAAACGCTTCAATTCAAGTGGTTGTCCCATGCACAATGGGACCTAAACACTAGGGCAGCCTGTGCGCCCATGTCACCGTGAAGGTTTGCTTTTTCAGCGCTATATACGTAACCTACGTTTGTGAATAGCGATCCTCGGAAAAACAGCAGTTTATCCTTGTGAATGGACTCAAATGGAGAGCCTAGGATTAATGTATAGAAAAGAAAAGAACCAAAGAACTGCAGGTTACGCTATAACGTCCACTAACACCACCAGTTACTTTACAAATCAGCTCATGCGATACAGGACCGGCGGAAACAATATTTGATTGGTCCACACCTAGCCTTTCATTCTTTTTTGTATGACATGGCGGGCATGACACAAGACCTCCCAGCAGTAGGCAAAAGGCAGGTCCGGCCATGGCCGGACCAACCGGAGCGGTTCCGCCGGATAGTTACTAAGTATTACACGTACACGACACTGACCAACGCTACTGATGTTCTACGTGTACAACTAACTGCCAAGAAGTGCTATAGGGTTGAGTGACTGGTAGTTGGTGGTCCATGTACTCACAGCAGAAGTCGTGCAAACCCTTCTACAGTCAACAGTACGACTACCAGTGAAGTCAAAGAACTTTGTTTGTTTATTTACGGATTCTCCAGAGGTAAATGGATACCTGTCATGGGAGTCTCACCAAACCAATAAAATAATGAAAATGAAACTTTATTGAGAAACCTATGGATGATTACTGTAATACATGATCCGGAGAGATGAAAAGAAAATTCGAAAGTCCACGCATGCCCACAGGCAATAATCACCTATTGGCTATTGCTCATCACTTCTTTTACAGATTTGGTATTATGGAAAGTTTGGAAGCCCCCTCGATAGGAGAAAGCCTTCGGGGAATCCTTAAGTGTTAAACAATAAAGATTTCAAAATTATTACTGAGTCGCACTTACACGTACTTCAGTACTAGCAAAGCAGATCATTATTTTTACGAAGAGTGAAGTCAGGGTCTGTAGTGGTAGATCGGCATGACATTGTAGATCAACCGGTATGTACTAGTAGAGCATTTCGACATGTGCTGGCAACCAGGTATGGACACCCGACTACATAGTCATTGCATCCACTCTGGCCACGCAGAGACTATGCATGACATGTAGTTAGTGTGGCTGGATCTTTTTGTAATGCCGGTGTGCACGTCAAACCTGCTT